TTTTTTTTTTTTCAAAGTTTTATGTATCTCATTTCCAATTTCCTCACACTTTGGAGAACATAACCTCAATATCAAAATCAATATCAGAAGGCTAGTTCTCATGTAAAAAGAATACGTATTAAAGTTTTGTATTGTTAATAAGTAATATTGTGCAATAAATTTATTATGGCATATATTATTTTTATCGTAGCGTACAGTCATATATTTAGTCGTAGAAACATTTTAAGTTATATTAATATTATATTTAAATGTATGTACAAGTTATCTCGGCAAATATACGAATATTAAGATTAATTTAATTTATCAAGTATATTTAAAATACACGTTGTTTTTAAATTGATCGAATATACACATACATCGAGCATAGTTCTACATTTGTATTTTAGGCACATGAGTTGCACATCTATGGAACGTATAAACTCTGACGATATATACATCGGAAAAGAGAGAAGCAGCCAAGTAGCTGTTCTTTTCGTTCGACGCTTTGGTGGATGTGGGACGTGGACGGGAATCCGTTTCAATCCATAACTTAGACTGTTTTAAGATAATTAAAAAATGACCGAAACTCTTCAGTTGAGAGGGACACTTAGAGGGCACAATGGTTGGGTCACTCAAATTGCGACGAATCCGAAATATCCCGACATGATATTGTCTTCTTCACGTGGTAAGTAGCCACGTAGCGGTCTACGTTCTTTACTGTTTTTTCATTTCTGTATTTACTTTACATTGCTTGCATTTACAAACTGCCTAAAAGCACTTTCAAAATACTTTATTCGTTTCTGTTTTGTTAATTCCAAAGGAAGAGGTAATTCAATACAAAGCGTATGCGCAATATGCACAAGAGTTTATACATTTTGTTTGTAGATAAAACTTTAATCGTGTGGAAGTTGACACGTGACGAAGCCAATTATGGTATTCCGCAGAAACGCCTGTACGGTCACTCTCATTTTATTAGCGACGTAGTGCTCTCGTCAGATGGTAATTATGCACTGTCTGGTTCATGGGACAAAACTCTTCGGCTTTGGGACTTGGCCGCAGGTCGTACTACGCGACGATTTGAAGATCATACCAAGGTGTGAAATTTTCCTTCTGATCTCTATGGTCGTCACTCCTCACGAGATATATACGGAAGCTTTTTTTTTTCAATTTTTTTTATTGAATGCCATTTGGCAGAAGATCGTAACTACGCGAGTGTCCGGGAAATATACTGAAGCTTTTTTTTATATATTTTTTTTTCTATTTAATAAATAGAAGAGGTGGGGAATTAAATATAGAGTATCGTAAGTATTGATTACGTCTGATGCATGAATTTAACATTATTTGCAAGTAATCAATCGCCAAAATTATATTATTGTGTTGGTAGGATGTTTTAAGCGTCGCCTTTTCTGTGGACAATCGTCAGATTGTTTCTGGTTCTCGAGATAAGACGATTAAATTGTGGAATACGTTGGCCGAGTGCAAGTATACCATTCAAGACGATGGGCACACAGACTGGGTCAGCTGTGTACGTTTTTCTCCAAATCATTCCAATCCCATTATTGTTTCTGCTGGTTGGGACAAATTAGTCAAGGTATGCTAGCTGTACAAAATATTAACTGTTTCTTTTAGCGTAATTTAACGTGATGTATACATTTTCATTAAACATGATATCTGTGAGTGTAAGCGGATATGGGACTGATCTCTCCTCAAGTCGTAAACTGTTTTTATCTTATTGGTTTTTTTCATTTTTTGCAAGTTATAAAATGATTTTGTAGGTATGGAATCTGACAAACTGCAGATTGAAAATCAATCACAGTGGACACACTGGGTATCTCAATACAGTTACTGTCTCTCCTGATGGATCGCTTTGTGCTTCTGGTGGTAAAGTATGTATCAGAAAAATATGTTGATCATTTAATAATCGTCCGTACGATTGCAAAATTCTTGAAACTCTGAAAATTCTTTTGATTGAGAAATGTGTTCTCTCGTTTAAAGGATTGCAAGGCTATGTTGTGGGATTTAAACGATGGAAAACATCTCCACACATTAGACCATAACGACATTATTACAGCGTTATGCTTCAGTCCTAATCGTTACTGGCTTTGTGCTGCATTTGGACCCTGGATCAAGATATGGGATCTTGAAACCAAAGAAATGGTTGAAGAATTGAAACCAGAGGTAGTGTCTGCGACAAGTAAAGCAGAACCACCTCATTGTCTATCTCTGGCGTGGTCTACCGATGGGCAAACGCTTTTTGCCGGTTATTCGGACAACACTATCCGTGTCTGGCAAGTTTCTGTATCTAGCCGTTAAGGATTTTAGACTGGAATTTAATAAAAACAGGAAAAAGAGAAGAAACAAGCGTTTAATTTATTTGTACATGTACAATACTTTTTTTTATATACGTTTAACGATTAAAAACCTTACGATTTTTCACTCGTTTTAGAATTTTTAATCTTTTCTTCAAACTGTTTAAATTCTTTTTTTGCGATTTGATCAGTTTCATCTTCTACTTGCACTACTCCAAGTACTTCTGGTATGTAAAATTGCATCATGTTTTGAACTCCGTTCTTCAAAGTGATCACAGAACTTGGACAACTTGTACAGGAACCTTGCATTTTCAATTTCACTATCCCCTCTTCAAAACCCTGTACGCGTACGTATTGAAAATGTTATTATCCTTGCAATAATTTAAACGCTACTTAAAAAGTAAAGTTAACGCAATTTTACAAAAAAGAATAAGCTAAGGCAACTTATCACACGTTTATGCTACCATTAAACAGAGACTTGAGATGAGATAAAAATTTAGAACACGAGACGCTTGTTTTCACATGTGAGTTTAAATTAAAACATAGATCGTTAGCCACGATTTTCAAATTTGCTTATAATTTATTACTTTATATAGGCGATATATTTTAATTTAAAAATTACGTACCATAAATACAATGTCACCTCCGTCCTCCTGTACCGTTGGTCGTATTCGAGTATCTAGCAATTCTTTAATCATTTGTACTATCTCGCTATCATCTTCGCTAATTTCTACAACAAGCAAAAAAATATTATTCGTAATACATAAATAATAATTTTCTTGTATTTCTATTTCTAACTATTTTTCTTATGCATACTTTCTTATCCTTCTATACTATTTTAATAATATAATTTTCTTATAGTTCCGAACATATGAAATACATATTGTTACACGGAATGTAAGTCACAAAAATCTATTGATAATTGCTGAATGGTTTTTGGACGATTCATGTATACACGTGGAAATGATTCTGTGTAAAAAACGAAGAACAGAAGAGAATCTTACGAGTATCTGCTGCTGGCTGTTCATCGGTTAATATGGGTAAACCAGTTGCAAAAAAATCCATTACAACAGCAAATATCTCTGGTTTCAGTAATTTCCACTCAACATCTTCGTCTGATTTTGTTACTGTAATAAAATCTGGACCAAAAAATACAGATTTCACACCGTCGATGCGAAATAACATTTTTGCAAGAGGTGAACAATATGCATCCGTAGCATTAGGAAAATCTTTAGTCTGGCCTGGTTCTAATACTTTGACTCCAGGTAGAAATTTTAAACTATTAGGGTTCGGTGTATCTTGCGTTTGTATGAACATTGTACGTTTTTGTACAATGTTAAATGATTTTTTATTAGAAAGCAGAATTGACCTCCTTGCTATATGATTATCGTTATTCGTATATACACACGTAGCATGATCCTTAAGAATTCTGCAATATTAATAACAAATAACGCAAAATTCATGCTTTCAATTAAGGTTAAAGTTTATTAACTCACTTCGAATATTGATACGTTGAATATGTACGTAATAATCGTTGATTAATACGCAATGTGTTTCTCAATATTTTATCCATTATCACGTCGTTAATTGCTTTTCATTGTTATCGTTATACAGGTTTTGTGGTTCGTTCGTACTGCTGTTTCTTATTTACGTACTTGCTTTTATCTATTAATGGTACAGATTATTTTTATTGTTTATGGAATTTTATGTTATTGCACATATTAACGGATATGACGTTTACGATTGACAAAATTTTATTAACATGTATATACAGTTTTTAAATGACAACCACGTCTTCCGATATTTTGAGGTTATGTAAACTCAGTAACCAATATGTAAAGGTATAAACAAATTAATAAATATTCCTTCAACGTATTGTTATGTATTTCATATAATCGATCAATTGTACATATTCATTGTATCAACATAAATTACATAGTTACGTGCAATAATTTTCTTTAACTAAAAAAATTACACTGGTAGAAATAGGAATACATTGGAAACAGGAATTTATATTATTGTTATTATCTTAAGTTAGGATTTTTAATTGTAAAGAAATAAAAAGAAAATTATATTAACGTGCTCTCAATAACAATAAGTAAGGTTTATTTAGTCTAATATAAGAAAATATCAGAGTACAACAGAAATATATGAACGCTTAATCGAATAAAATGTAATGTTTTTAACTTATATTTAGCATATCATTTAAAGTAGAGTTAATAAGTTCTGAACATTAGTTTCAAGCAGCTTAAGATTACATTACATTAAATTAACTTAAAATTAGATTAGAGTGTATCGACGTCAAAAAGCTTGATTCTTCTATGTAATATAAGTACTTTGGTTGTAAATTGTTGTTTATACAAAACTTTCTCATTACATCGTAAAAAAAGTTATGTAAAATTCTTAAAAAAAGCTAAGCAAATATCCAAAGCGTATATGTAGTATAAAACAAAATGAAAAGCGAGCGAAGATATATACAATTTGACAAACACGAAGCAGCAGATTGGGAGAAATCCTTTTGTTTATCAGGTTGTGATACACATAAATTTTCACAATCTTCGTTCTCGCATATATCACAAAGTGTAGATTTTCGTGGTTCATAAAATACTCTTGCTCTTCTCGCTAAACATGTTACAAAAAATAGTTAGTTGATCAAAGTTATAAACTAAGTGATACAGTAAGATTAATGAATTGAAATGGTAAAATATATATTAACTTATTTATACGAAATACATGATATTAATTGACTGCCATGACAATCGTTGGTATCCAGAAATACTGGGTACTAATTAAAATATTTAAATTAAAGGTATTTGAGCGCTTGTACGCTTTTTATTTTAAACAACTTTATTTTTTAATCAATTTTATATATCGTAATTGCGCTAAAATAAATGACTTTCACGAGCAAAATATATGTCAATACGTTAAAAAATTATTTATTAAAAACTTACACGAATCGTAATAATCGTATATAGTAACTGGTACTGGTTTTTGTTTCGCCACTTTATGCGTTCTGAATGCGGATACCGTAGGACAGTATTCTTGTCTATTCATCTGTAGGATATTAGTTGATTTAAAATTTAAAATCTAATCTAAAATAGCTTGATGATATAAATATTTTGTTATATACCTCGTCAAAATATAGCATCACGACCGTGTCTCCGTTCTTAGTTTCCACTCGTTTCACGTTCTGTGATACTTCGAGACTAGGTAATGATTCCTTATCTACAGTAAAACCAGAAGGCAAAGTAACTTCCATCACAACCATATTGCTTACATTCGCTTCCTTGGTTGGAACAAATCTGTTACATTAAATACATAACATAATATTAGGTTAATATTAATATAAATATCGAAAGAATGAAGTAAAACATACCCGGAACAGATCGAAAGTTGCAAATGATTAGCATTGGAATTTTTATCTACTTGAGGATCCAAAGTGAACAGCGGCCACGCTCCAGTTACATTTAGATTGTACTTGTACGTAACTTGAACTAGAGCAAATCCATTTCCAGTAGCTGTTATATTAATTAAGCGTGTTTTCTTCGGAAGCTTGAGAAACAATAAATATATTAAAATCATTTGTTACTTACACGTAAGCTATATATATTTAGATTTTAACACTGTATTTATAGAATTCCTTCTTTTTTTTGGTTTTACTTTTTTCGGTTTTTGCAATTATCTTTTTTGAGATGCTTAATTGTTAGACTGCATCGAATACAACTCGAACACTTACCACTTGTTTTTGAAGTATCATGGAATTATCAGTATTTATATTTATTTCACTTTGTTCACCTCCTTCGTACATGAATGTTATAGAAATGGCATTGGTTTTTGTTATTAACTTTTCACCCAAATTCGCCAAAGCTTGTATCCCAATTACGGTATCCTAAAAGTTGTTTGTACAAATGTAGCAAGTACGTATATATATCATTAACAACTTTTTAGGATTTTTATCAATTTGATATTAATACCTGTGTGGATGCGAAACCACCTTCAGCATTTCTTTGTTTTACAAGCCATTTCATTATAGGTATCGAATCAGCGACTAAATTACGCCTTAGATAAGTTAACAAAGCATAGGATGTCATTTCAACGTCGACAGATCGTGGTAGAGAATGATACCACGGATTTTTATCGTTTTCTGGTACAGGTTTGCTCCACCATTTAGTATCTTTCTTGGTCGTGGCTTTAGATTCTAACAGATTAAATGCCGCAATCTCGTATGGATGTTTTGCCAAATTTAAAACATATACGCATATACTCAAAGCATAAACATCGTCTAGATCGTTCATATTACGGACGATGTAATCAATTCCTTTATTTATGGTGTTTCTATATTTTCCATTAGAATCCTATAATATCGAAATAAAATAATTTAACGTCAAAAGTATCAAGTATATTCCATTTTTCTCGTAAAAGATCGAAGCTATAAAAAACAATGTTCCGGGAAAAATTGTTCGATGTAAAGAAATATATATTATACGGTATTAATAGTATTTTTATGAATGGAATGACGAAGAGAAGTGCAAAATAAGTATCCTCTGTAAAAGGGATACTTATTATACTTACTGCATTTTCGAGAAAAGCAATAAGAGTGAACGCTGTCAACGCAAGACCTTTCGCAGCACCACCTTGCATGTCTCGATGACTAACTCTTCCTACTTCGGGAAAACTTCCATTAGGAGCTTGATTATTTGATAACCATTGCAAAGCTTCATCTATCATTCTGTCTTCGATTGGGATATATGCAGCAGCTTGTTTGAAAGCTTTTGCCACGAAAGCGGTAAGCCTAGCGAATAAAACGTCTAGTAAGTAAAATCCATAATATAAAATGTTAGTATTCCATACAATATGTGTAATTTCACACTTAAATACTTATATACCATGTACTTCCATTGCTATCTGACATGCCAAATGCACTAAATGATCCATCATTATGCCTGTAAGTTAATTCTCTTTGATAGCCTATTTCTGTATATCGAAGAGCCTTGCTTTCTACCGCTTGTGTCAATTGATTTGTGTTCTACGAAGAAGTTTCAAATACATTTCTCCATTATATTGCATATATAATTATATGTCTACGCGCGTTATATATCGACTTACTTTAAGATAATTTAATATCATTATATTTGGAACAAATTTCAACATATTTTGTTCGCCGCAACCTGATGGCATTTTAATTAAATTTGCCACATTCAAAATACTTGGACCCAATATATCTCCTAGTAAAAATATAAATTAACGTTAAGACGAACTCAATGATATCTTTACAATATTACACCGTAATACACTTCCGAAATGTTTTGTTTGTAACATTTTTATTTCTTCCAGCCTGATATTTTACGAAGCGGTTTCTGTGATTTTTTAAGCATCGGAAGTATTAATAAAAAGATAATGTTGATTTTTTTTAAGTCGAATTTCAATTAAAGGCTTCGTAGCCTTACCTACTGCAGATATTTCAATGTGTTCTGAACCTGGTACCGCATTTTTTGGTATATCAATTGCAACGTTCATCGATGTGTTTGTTGTGCTTCTGAGATCTATAAAAGTAGCTTTGTTCATATATTGCGTTTCTCCTTCAGCCTGCACATAAGTTAATAGAAAAGCTCAAATTTCAATTAACGAAATATAAATATAATTTTTACTTTAACGAAAAAATAACTTACTTTAACAAGTAGTTTACGTTCCACACTATCTCCAGCTAGTACGCTATTTGCGGTTGCCTTAATCGTTACATATCCCAATTCTCGTGGAACAATCATGAAGGAGATACTACTTCCAGAATTAGCTTTCACTTCCACTTTCTTCTTACGATACAATTCTAATTCTGGAATATTTTTTTATAATTTGTTTACATCATATCATACGAATACGAAATACGAAATCAAATTGTAAGCTTTATCCTACTTGGTACATCCTGGACTTCGTTGGACATTTCTGCGAAATCAAACTGACCCTCGTTTGTTAACAAAACTTCAGCCACAACATTTTTGTTCATATAATTAAATACCACAATCTGGATTGCAACGATCTCTCCTCGAATTACAGAGTAAGGAAGATCCATGGAAATAAAAAATGGTCTAAAAACTTTTAGCTGTAAAAAAAAAGTAGGTCTCTCTTTTCATATTTGCATCGTATAAATAATTTTACAATTATTATTTACGTAAGCATTTCGTATCACCTTTCGCGGCTCTTCTATAAGACCTAATCCATGTACGTCATTTACAGAAAATGCAGTGAGCACCCATGATGTAATTGAATCAGGCACGTTTCTCTTCAGCTCATTTTTTCCCTCGTATCTATTTTCAATCCATAATTAATCTCTTGTTTCATAATTTATTTCATGCTAAGGGTAATGTGATAATTTACAAATTTATTTGCTAACGAACGAATCTATTTATAATATTAAATTTAATTTAACGTTTCAAATAAAGTTAATAAAAGAGTTTTTCTTACGATACAACTTATTTTGCTCGGAAACAACATCTTGCTTGTAGGATATTCAGTAATAGATATGTTTTACAAAAATTCGTTAGATATGAAAGTACAAACAATTGGAAAATGATACAACAATAATTAAAGCAACATAATTTAAAGTATGCAAATATCAAGAATATATTCTATTACTGATCGTGTGTATCAATTATGCAGAGTGAATCATCTAGCTCTGTTGCTTCAAATTACCAGTTATGTTAAAACTGTTTCAAATAAAATTCATACGATGTCAAAATGGTATAATAATTATGCAAGTTTCTGTAATTTTATTTTTTAAGATCACAAATGTGTAATATTTATCCTGTCAATTTAAAATAGCATTTTAAGAAATTATTAAATAATTAAATAGTCCATTAAACATCAAAGTACACGCATTCAAGAAAAATAGTTACCCAAAAATTCTTTAAGTAACCTTTAACGCGAGAAGCGATCAAAACGTTATCTATTACAGTCAATACAAATGCGTTGTCAATCAATTATATTGAAAATTTCCAAGAGTTTCACTTTCAAAGGTTCTTCTTCCACAGAACTACTGTTTTCATACATAAAATTCGAATTGAATGGTTCATACGATATTTAAGAAACTGAAATAAATTTAACTCGATCTTGATATTCTGATAAATACATGCTCCTCTTAACAACAATTTATAGCAATTATGAGTAATTTAAGCTAACAGAGTTGGTCGATTCAAGGACACCCAGAATATTCCAGCTTTTATTTGTATAAAAGTAGTCTATACTCGAAACAAAAGCATGACCCATGAATATCATTTGTCAAATAATGTATATAAAGCATGTACATGAAGCTTTATAAACTGAAAGTATATGAGATAAATACCCTGCAGAGAAGTTTGTAAAAAGCCAAGTGTTTAAGATGTCATGCATTAGGAATACACGGGGCTTATTCCAAACAGGAGGTGGGATGCGAGAGAAGGCATAAGGACCTGCCAGTGGTGGTCTTGTTGCTAGTTTGTGCGTAACAGGTGGACCAAGGTCTGGTCGAAGTGTGGATGCCCCATGAGATGAGCCTGTTATTCTACCTTCCAGTATTCCCGGTTGTTCTGTAATCCAATTCTATTGTAATATTGTATTATATCAGCACAACCAAGGGAATAAAAAAAAAAAAAAAAAAAAAAAGAAAAAAGAAGACGTAAAAACCTACTACAGAAACTAATCCTAATCTTTTATCATGTTTTATTATATAATATTTTTTGTATTTCACGTTATATAGTAATACTAATGTTTTATACGATTAGGTACATTGCAGAGAATGAAATGAATGAAACGAGTTGTAACAAGTCCATCACCGTAGTACTAAATCCCATAAAGCACGTCGAATAAATATTAGTAAATTAATTTTGAAATGAATATGTTAAGTCTTTTTAGACAAGTAACACATAGTGAATTATGTTTATTTGATGAGTTATATCGGTATTATTTTAACAATGAAAAAAATGTTCTCTCAGCAGGTAAAAATTTTCAATGGTATTACCCAGCATCAAGCGTTTGCCAAAGCCAAGTTTCAGGGAAATTCTTGCGTACTTTCGTCTTCTCTGATGGCAATGCAATTGAACTGAAACCTCCAACAGCTGATGGAAAGGCGATCTCTAGAGCAGATCTGTAGTATACTATACAGACATAAGCCTTGTTAAGTAATAAATACGTGAACCGATTAACTAAAGACTCGACGGTAAGTATTACTGAAAAATTAGAAACGTTCTTTTCGTTCTAACGTTGTAAATAAATAAAATGTTGTCGACTAATATGTTATTACATTAGAAAATCACATGTAGTGGATAGGTAAAATAATATTAGTAATTAACTTGACCCATACAGAAAGCACTTTACTTACGAATTTGGAAGTTTTCGTGAACATATGCATTTGTTATGATGATGGCACCACTTTCCTGTTAAATAATATTTATATCGACATTAATGAAAAAGTATAAAAATCCATTCGAATGAAATAATTAATTCATTTACTGTAAAAACATCTTTTGCTGTAGCCGAACCAGGATACCATAGGTATCGATCAAAAACTGAATCTGCATAAGGTGATTCACGAGTATTATCGTACGATTTTAGCTCTTTATATACTTGTTCCTACAAATGAAAATGTGTTGCAATTATTTGTAATTAAGACAATGCTTGAATTAACGAGAATCATCCATAATATTACGTATGAGATATCATTGCCGGATTTCAAAAGTATAGATCTTTGATCTATACCTAATAATCCAACGTATGAATTTGGTTTTGAGGTAATAACTAAATTGACATTATCTCCCGGTGCAACTTCTTCAGATGTCATTTTAATATCAACCTTTAACAAAGATCAGGGTATTAATATTCTAATTTTTATTGTAACTCGTATTCGTCAGATTTTGAACTTACAAAATTTTGAAGCACTCCTTCTAGTTCTACATCTAAGGCGTCTGCAATAACTTCTCCATCGTCTCCTATATAATATATAATTATATGTGCGGTAGGTGCCATAACGTATGTTGCTAAAAACCTAAAATATATTTTATGATTTTATATTGAAATAATAAGAAAAAAGGATTATTTTGTAATTAGATATCAACATTATTAATATTTACTTAAAGCTTGTCGCATGTTTATTTTGAACAAATATAGAACCTGCATCCAGTATATCGCCGCGTCCGAATATCTCATAATTGATATATTTCAATGGCGTTGTAGAATTTACTTCAACTTCTACATCTCGATTAACCTTATACAAAAATATCATATTTTTGAAATATTGATTTTCACATTAAAATAATCTAGATGACGAAAAGGTGATCATACCGTAGGCTTTTCAGTTTTCAAAATAGCTTGGATGTATTCGTTATTCTGTGACATTGCTTGGTTTATCGATGGAAACCATTCATAAAGATTTAAATATTGAGCCTATTTATAATAATTTTTTTGACGATTATTGTTAGGCGATTGGTATTATTAATTTGAATGTTTTTGTACTCGCTATATATGTATATTACCTGAATGTTTAAAGGATATGACATATTGTCGTTAGTTTTTGGTGGATAAAAGTTCAATTCTACCATTCCATTTTCGTCTAACATGTCAGTAATATTTCTATATGTAGATTGATTATCAATAACGTAAGTATATCCATATTTTACTGTAACAAAATTTTTATTGTCTCTCACCGGTGTTCCATCATGGTATGTTAATTTTATCTATAAACATTTTTTTAATATTATATCCGCGTGACTTTAAGAGAATATTTCAATATTCAGAATATTATTAACAATTCTGTTTACGTACGTATGCTGTATATTTTAATCCTGGTTTGTAGTATTCCGACGTTTTTATCAAATCCATTGTGTATTTATGTTTATGTAACGTTACATGTGCAGAAGTATTCTGTCTTCTACCAGTTAAAGATTCCTCTACCGTAACATCAAGCATGACTGGTCTTTCGTATTCATCGGTGAGCCTGTACGAAAATGAAAATTGAATTACATACTTTCTAAAGTGCTTTGCATATTTTGTTAAATATATACATACTTCAGTTCGTCGTGAATGTCAAAATCAACAATCACTTTCCCATCAATAGGAATCACTTTTCTTATAGGCTGTTGGTATATTGGTTGTATAACACCGGAAAATATATCAGGATAAGCTGTAACAGTTGCTTCTCCTTTCACCGCCTTGCCATAAGTATACCTAAATGATTTGCACTTTGAAATAAATAATTTTTGTCAAATTTTTTAAGAGAATACTAAGACATCATTGAATAATATCATTGAGTGACATTGTTACAATTGTACGGGATATGGGATAAATTAAAAACATACTAAACTTTCTAATATACTTGTGTAAAAAAAGCCTGTAAAAAATTCGTCTAACTATTAGAATTCACTTACTTGGCATAGATCGTTGCAGTGATTTTTGATTCTTTAAATGTAGAATGTTTGGGAGTATCAATTGTCACTTCAAAATTAGGTAACACATATTCGGCAACTTCAAAGTTTTTTTCGAACGTCTGATCGCCAACATTTACTGTAATTTTCCAAGTACCTAAAACTGGATATTCCGACAGTTCGATTTCCCCGCTAAAAATCCCGTGAGTCACGGGTGGACGATCCCATTGTTTAATTCTATTTCCTTTTCCATCCTATAAAGATGTAATGTTAATTAATAATCAAAAATTCGTTTTATTTATTATGCAGCATTTGTTACTTAAAAATACTTACCGTGACATAGACATTTACTAATCTTTCAAGTGTAGGCCTAAGTCTGGAATTCAACAAAATACATCGAAACATAACTTTATTTCCTGGTTTGTAAATCGCTCTGTCAGTCTGAATGAAGACTGAATAACTTTTAGGAATAAACCTGATCGACTTTGACTGTGAAAATTCTATTCCTGACAAACCACGTGCAATTAATTCATATGCACCAGGAATAATATCGCCAATCTAAAATTTAAAAAGAAATTAATAAATGAACTATATTTATATATATAACGTAGATGAACTATATTTATATATAAAAGAAAAAATACACTTACTTCAAATCGTAGAATTCTTGTACTGTACGGCTGTACTTGTATAACTTGAGATACATTGAATAATTCTTTTATCCTCGAATTACTGTCGAACGATCCTTTTAGTTCAATATATACCGTCGATGGTGTTGATATACCATTTACACTTACAGCTACGTGATATTCCGAATCTGGTCGTATTACTTTTGGAGCTATTACGCTGTAGTATCTTGAAAAATATATTAAAATATTCGATTATTAAAGTATTTAATGCAATATTTAAGATATATTCGTCATATTTATTATTTTAATTTAATGTTTAATAAAGTAATGTGTGTGTGTATGTGTGTACAAATACATACGATTCTGCAGTAACATTTAGTATTATACAAGATAGAAAAACAATATGAAACCATTGCCAATCCATTTTTGAAATCTCTGTAAAATTAAAGGAAACGCAAATTAAGATACAAAATAATATGATTATTAAATAAATAAATTTTTACTCCTCATACTAAACGTACAATAGTACATTAATGTCAAAACATTTGCAATGTTTACATTAGATATGTAAGAAGTAAGAAGTAATTTTATAGTACAAGATAAACTATTACATAATTGTATGTCTCATTTCATTATATAATTTTGCAATTATCAATACTTGGAATTGTCAAGCTGGTTTTCCCGTCAGCAATTATGTATTTCTTCGCAATGAGATAATAACTTGTTTGCACAATATGAATACAACAATGGAAAAACCCAAAAGTTAAAAGTTTATCATTTTATCAATGCTAAATGTTTGAAATATACAAGAAAAACAATTTTGTTTTATTTTATGTTTAATGATTAATGGAAATCAATTTTGAATATATATATAGTATATTTTTATAAATATATATGAATATATTTTGTATAGTCGTACATTCTATTCGAAATTATATTTAACAGATTTTTGGTTTATAAAACTGTTATAATAATCCTAGTATATTCAAATCAGCAATTGATAATATTTAATATAATATTCCAATCAACAATTTAAAATTCCACATACTGTATTATATATCAAATAATTTGTACTGAAAAAGGAATTTAATAAAATGGAATATATTTAAATTAACAAAAAAACTGAAATTTTCATTTTAAATATATTTGGAACTATAATATTTAACATATTTGATTACTTATTCCCAGATGTGCTTCAAATTTACAGTTTACATCATTTTTTCCAATTATCTATTCAACTTTATTGTTTTGAATTTATAAGAATATACCGCATCTGTTAAGCATTATTTATTTTTTTTGAATGGACCAACTATGGAATCTACTTACCGAGATTAGAAAGTAGCGCGATAGATGTTTATGTTTTATAAGTCTTCAATCCTCGAAACCTTGTTTATTCGATAGAGCTCTATTAATTTATACATCGAAAAATTCAAAAAATATATTATCAATTAAACAGACTGAAAAGATTTTCATTTTCAATTGAGATTTCAAGATTTCACGTTAAATATTTTTATCATGCATGAAAACTAGAGGAGAATTTATGGTAGGATCGCGTCATCTCGGAAAATAATTCTGAATAATAATATAACTCACCTTATTAAAAGATTGCAGGATATAAGTCTGGTTACGACGTGATAACACCGTCGAGGAAAATAAATTTGCCAAGTTGCCGATGCAACAGTTAGACTAGCAAGTATTACCAATCATGGACCGAAGAAGTAAGAAGTGTCCCAAGAAAGTAAGCGAGCAAGCAAGTGCAGGTTGCTCTCTCCTCTGGCTACTTCAGTTCTCCCGTATATACATATATAATATGTATATATACATATCTGTCACGTTTTTACCGTTAGAGGGATAACATGCCACTAAAGTACCATTCCTGTAAATTCTCACTGTCTGCATAAATTTCAGTATCTCATCACGAACTATATTTTTCGATGCATCACACACGCATCTAACTAAAAGTTCATCCTACGCCATGTACTTGTAAATGATGTCACGGTCTTTTATTCGAAATTTATTTATGCATGATGTGATTCACGAAAAGAATCATTCAAAAGTCACGTTGATTAATTTCCTAAATTGAAAAATAAAAAAAATGACGATTATTATTATACGGATTGGCGCATTTTCATACATTTATCAGAATTTATCTTCTAAGAACTACATTACGCGGTAGGTTCTTCGTAACTTTTAATCCCAAGAGACTCTCAAAATTATTATTTTGAGAGCGTATGTATATATATGACAATAACAACATCTTGTTATTAATGAAAAATTAATTTTTATATGAAATTGCTCTACATTTACCAGATTTCATTTGTCGATCTTGATGTGACTCGTCGTGACATAGTTTAATGCAATGTGTGTCACGAGAACGAAATCCAAATTTTCAAAATTGTATAAATTTCATTTACGGAGAAAGAAAATGAATTCCTAAGAAAAAACGAAAATCTTTATGTTATCTAGTATTTAAATTAAAAATGTTGGAAATATACCAGTCGTCAAGAATACGGACTTTATGGAATGGATTTATAGATTTGTCGCACTATATAGCATATAAATAGATAAAAGATAATCACAAACACGTACATTTATTACATTAATGTGATTTTTATCTTTCTTCCTACAATTTCCTTCTTCGCTCTTTTCATCTTCGTCTTTTGTTCGTTTTTTGTCACTATCAGTGACCATGGCCGGTATATTGAGAATACAGATACATTTGGCATTTGGTACTACATGAATCTAATAAATTTTGTTTTTAAAATACTGAAAATACAATTTCTATTAAAAATTATTATTAATACTATTAATATTATTTCATATATATATATATTTATTTATTTATTTACTTATGCAGTCATAAGTGATTTCAATGCTTGCACAGAAAAGATTCGATTTATATGCGTAGATAGAAAAGAAAAATTTACTATATAAATAACTCGTTACCTCGTGTATTTCTTTCTTGTAGTTCGTATTAATTTTCACTTCAATTTGCGTTAGTTTATATAAATTCTACTATCATTTGTTGAAGATTAAAATAGAAGTTACATAAACTTCAGTTTCTGAACAGTTGTCAGCTGCCTCACGGTCAGACAAAACTAATCCAAATTTAATTTTTATATTTTGTTTTTTACGAAGAAGAAGTGGTTATGGAGGTTACTATCAAAATCCAAGGTGGTGTGATTATTTTATCAAATAATTTCATCCAAAATTTAATTATAGAAATTTACATAAGATACAATTTTAAATATATCGATAGAAACATTTTCATACCTTTCCTTGAAATTTATTTGGCAGTGTATTTTATGATTTAATTTATCAAGATTTTTTTTCTTTTTTTCCTTATAATAACAGAATTTATAATATCATATAGCGTTAAATTACAATGAGTCATTTAATTCGTTTTTATATGCATCATCAAAACAAGATCTATTTGTCATATTCTTCAGTTGCTTGTACGTTCTTCTCAATGTATCAGGATCGATTAGAAATTGTTGCCAAAGAATGTTTTTTCCTCGCTCGAAGTTTGTGTCCGCTTTCTACAATGAAAAATTTAAAATATAAGTTTCAAATTATTCATTCACTTATAAAGAAGATAACTTATATACAAAACAAACATATATGCGTATATTTCTGTTCATATATGTATATATATATACATATATATTTTACCAATCGTTCTTTCATTTGACTTCGTATCTTCGTCAAATCAGTTTGTATGTTTTGTAAATTATTAAATGTTTCATTGTGACATGTCTCAATATTAAAAGAGGTTGATTTAAATGTATGTGTGGGTCCTTTCTCAATCTCATTTAAATATTGTAAATTTACTTCATTTTCCCTAAATTGTAATAATTTAATATTTATAGTTGTCCTTACAGTTTGATAACTGATAAAAAATTAATACTTACAAAGATTCTAATTTGTGAACTTTTGAAGTTAAATAAGTTTTTAGTATAAATTGTTTCGTGGTTTTATTTTCGTCTATAATGTCATTATATTTGTGCAATGCAGAATTTAATTGATGTATATTATCGCCACTGCACATCATTGAAACGAAAAACTTGTGAAACGAATTATGTATTTTCGGTGTAGATACAAGTGCGGAATACTCATTTTGCAGTTGTTGCATAATTTCCTATATACACACACACACACACACACGCACATATATATATATATATGTATATGAAATTTTATCACAAACTGCAATCCGTACTACCTTTTATTTTGATAAATTACTTACACATCTGGTAGATGATAGTGAATATTCCGTGATTAAATAGTGATAAGCATCCGCTACAAACTCAGAAACATTTTTAAGACACTGAAATTGCATTTCCATTAGCATTCGTAGTAAATCAATGCGCACATGACCACGTTCCCGCGCAAGAAATCGTAGGCTTTTAAGTTCTTCTAAATGACTTTTTGCTCGTTCAAGTCTCGCATGTGCATCCTGTTTTAAAATTTTGGTTATTTCCAACTGTGAAAACTGTTGCGCTACTTCTGTTAACTGACGTTCTTGTAACAAAGTGATATTTTCTTCTAAGAAGTCCCTCTTTCTAGTTAGCTTTAAAATTTCTGTTCTAATTTTGATTCATAAAGATAATATTCATTGTAAGAGTGGAGAATGTGTTTTGAAAAATAGTTGCACTTAAACTTAGACTTTCAAATACCTTAATTCAGAATGTTTTGGTACTTTCAAATGTCCTAAATTATATATATCTTCTATGTAATTCAACATTGCAATGTACGATTCCTCTTGTACTTTTGTTAGAATTTCTTCTAGTTTTGCATTAGTTAAGCTGTAAAGTATGCTGCCTCTTTGAATCAATAAATGCAAGGGATATTCAATTTACTAATAATTATAAATATTAGTTACTTTGTTTTACATAGCGTGAGTTCCAGTAGTTTTTCATTATCTATGGTTTTTTCTTTATTGTTATCGATTAAGGAAACATAATTAGAAACAATCTTTTGCTCTTCCTTAGACGTGTTTCCAAACTGTCGTTTTATATAAACGTCTAAGTATTGATTATATAGCTCTATATTTCTAATAAAAAGTTCCAATGGCATTTGAGTCCACAATAGTGGTATTCCTTTCTATAAATACAAAATATTATTACCGTTACAAATTATAAAAGTATTTAAAAATCACTCACATTTTTTGCTGCATCTGCATAAACATTCAAAAGGCATTCAACTTCTTTAAAAAATTGATGATTCTCAACATCAAATTTCTTTAGAATGGCAAAACACTCTTTGTATGCTCTATTTGCTTTAATATTTTCTCTATCCAAAAATTCTCCTTTTTTTTCTATATCTTCATCTAACTCTGTTTCCAATTTTCTGCAATAATATGACATTGTGTAACAACGACTTGGTCCACTACCTTTTCTCACAAAGTAATATTCTTATTGTTACAGAAAATTCATTCATGGCTTTTAAAGTCATAAAAATAATGTGAAAATAGTGACAAAGAATACAGTTACACTTCAATCAATTACGAGACTATAACGATAATACTTTTAAGAGTTGGAACATAATGCGACTAAATACTAATTCTCAAATCTATGATCTCATTGGATTTATATCGTCTTATGCATGTTTGATACACGCATCCAAATAAAAGTGCAAAAAACAAAATAAATGATCGTGTTACTTTAAATTTTGAATCCCATTCTGCAATTTGTGAATATAATTTTCATCTTCCTTGTAGGAATCCTTTACTATTTCGTATTCTATGAACAAATTGTTGACATCCGTATCATCGAAGGAAATGATTCTTAACAAATCAGGACAATCTCTAGCTGCTTCTTTCAATGCATAATCCAATTCCGAGTCTTCCAACCATTCGTTCATTTCTTGCAATTTATTCTTTCTGAAATGCAAATCATCAAAATTCTTATATTTCCAATGCAACTTAACAAACCTTTCACATTGTGTAAAGAAAAACTAAATCAGGTTTTGGCAAAGATAGACTTGTTTTTTGCAAGAAATATAAGGTATTTATTGTATACAAAAACTTCTATTTTGAGAGGACAAGAGTGAAATGTACGTTTTATTTTATCTCTTAAACTTAAATTTTAGTCGTACGTGTGCTGACAAATATTTTAAACGAATCTCAAAATATAAGAACATTTGAACTGACACGACTAAGAATAATCATCTTTATTAATTAATAAACGGCATTGTTACATTTGGATATCTTCGTTTGACAAAATGTTGACGTAATTTACATTCTTGCAGAACCATTTCAAAAACGGCTGTACCAAAGGTTTGTCACAAATTTTATCCAGCAGTTCTGACGTAACAACGTTCGAAAGTTCCGGGCGTAAACATCGGATTTTGTCGTAAAGAACTTTGCCAGTTACATCCATGTTATTCCACGCACACTCTGACGAGCTTACAAACTGGCAGTAAAAGTTTTAAATCGGACGTACAAATATTTGCCGTTAAATACGAATTTGATGTTTCGCGCTTGCGCATTGAATCGTACAACTTAAGCGCTAGTACGTTTTGATAACTTTGAGTTTCGTCTAATTGCCAACAATAAATTTGATCTAATATTTTCTTATTTAGTTATTTTGAAACGAACTGGCTTCTAAAACTCATCTAAAATAATTTTTCGAATAACCGCTAAATCTGCAATAATATCACTATGGATTCTACGTGAAAAAATTTTAGGAGAAATTTTTTAGAGTAAATTGGTAGCACTGTAGCATGCACGTGAATGAGAGTCTCGTACTATGGTGTGAATTTTGTTCGAGTGTTTCGTTTTATAATTTATAAAAATGTTGATCGAACCGAAATTGACGAATACGTCAAAAAATTTTGGCAAGCCGTCGGAAAAGCAAAACACCGTAAATATTTGTGTCAACTTCACAGTCGATGTAACCTTAATTATTTATTAAATTTATTTATATATTTCAGTTGTTACAAAGTTTAGGAGCTCCACATATAGATTCTTTCAACTACATGTTAGAAGATGGTTTGTCCGAGGCTGTTAAGGATAATCCACTTGTTTACATTTATCTACCAAATAAAGACAAAGTAGCATTATGGATTGAAGATGTATCAATTCATCAACCAAGCATACCGTCTGGTACGATTGGAGTGAAGAATCATAAGATTTATCCAACGGAATGTAGACAACGAGGATGTACTTACAAAGGAAAGTTTACAGTTAGATTGGGATGGTCTGTCAATGATAAAAATCAAGAGACTCTCGAAAGAGATTTAGGAGAAATTCCAATTATGATTAAAGTATGTAACGTAACATGTGAGATAAACAAATCAGGCACGATCATATTTTATTTGCATTTAATGTTATAGTCTAATAGGTGTCACTTGAATAAAATGACCCCTAGTAATTTGGTTGCTCACGGAGAACACGAACAAGAATGGGGTGGATATTTTATTGTTAAGGGACTTGAGAGAATTATAAGAATGTTATTAATGACAAGAAGGAATTATCCCATTGCTATTAAAAGATCAAGCTGGAAAGCTCGTGGCATACAGTTTAGTGATCTTGGTTTACTTTTGAGAAGTGTACGAGATGACAACACCACAGCTGTACGTATAATTAAGTAGAAGTTTAGTTGACAAATTTAGTTGTGTTACTAATGTATCGTTACATATTTTACAGAATAATACTCTACATTACGTAACTGACGGCTCGGCGAAATTAATGTTCTCCTACAGAAAAGTTTTATACTACGTCCCATTGATTTTGATGTTAAAATGCTTGGTTGATGTTACCGACGTTTTTATTTATAACGCGTTAACAGCAGGCTGTGAAGATGATTTATATTATAAAGGTTGTATTTTAAATATGCTAAGAGCTATACACGAACAAGGTTTAAATAATCACGAGGAATGCAAAGCTTATGTAGGTAGAGTGTTTAGAGTAAAACTTTTCGAATTACCTCAAGATGCCACTGATATAGATGTTTGTGACTTTATAATTAAGTAAGTTTAATTAATACAGTGATGGATA